CTTCCCCAGTTAGAGTGAGGCCGTGTGATGGACCAACCCCGTCTTGTAGTAGCATTTTACACTGAAGGTGCAAAACGCATACTAAATGACTACACTGGCACTCAAACTATCGGGAAAAGCTTGTAACCTACTTGGATCTTCATTTAGCAGCACAATGTCGTCTGCATACTGTAGATCAGACAGTCTGCCACCCGGAAGTAAATCGATGCCGTTATCCCTGCACGAGGATAGGGCTGTTTCAAGAAATAAATCTATGACAAAGTTAAATAGAAAAGGAACTCGGGTGAAAAAGTGCCGTAAGCTCGAACTCGTCTTCGGCTATTATTGTAAAGGGATTGTAATATTGAAATAAACTTCTCGGACACTCCCTTCAGGGAAAGGCAGCGCCAGAGTTTAGAGCGGTCCACTGAGTCGAAGGCCGCTTTCGGATCGAGAAAGACAGACAGACAGTCTACAAAAAGAATGTCGGTGCTCCAGAATTTGGCGCCGATTGAAGATGTGGTCGATACAACCTCGGCCAGGTCAAAAGCCAGCCTGGTTTTCACGCGTACACCGTTCACGTGCGGCAGACAATCGGCGGAGTATGATGCCAGCGAGAAGTTTAGAGACGATGTTGATTAAGCTAATTCCTCTGTGGTTTCCACAAGAGGATCTGTCACCTTTCTTGTAAATAGGCATGATCACTGATTCACACCATTCAGCTGGAACCTGTTCCCTCTACCACACTGAGCCTAAATTAAGCATGTAAGTGTGTGCAATGAAAGCTCATCGCCCATTATATAGTTCAATTGAACAACTGATGTCAACCTGTGAACCAAGGATCACGGGCTGTGTTGGCCAAATGAAACGCGCTTCGATCCATGTTAAGTAATCCGCGCCATCGCCGAAAAACGCCTTCAGTTGATTGAGTGAAGGTTTATTAAAAAAATTTAGTTCTCAGAGAAATAGAACTGGCCAACTATGGAAAGATCGGATATCAGAGTTCGTATGCGCAACTATGGTCGATGCTTTCTATCGTGCTGCCAAAAAATGAACACTGCAATCTTTTGACGTGCGGCCATTCTCCAATTTGCTGGTCTAAATCATAGTGTGGATGAATAAAACAGTGAAAGCGAACGCACGCCACATGCAGGTCACAAAATGAAATCTCTAAAGACAATATGTCTTCTGTTAGTGTATACTAATCAGAAAAGGCATGTAACCCATACAAACTGCAAGCGCAAAGAGACACAGGCGGAGATGAGAAAAACATTTTAAGATTGATCAGTTTGGGACAACAAATGGGAAGAATGGTCCAATCGAAAAAGGCACACAGACACAAATCAAAACAGAAAATCAATCACCAATACAGTATATTGACAGATATTTTCATCCATGGTTCGTCCAAAAATGGAGGACCAGTGGAAAATGCCACAATGGGCTGAGGCGCATGGTGTATCAGAAAATCACTAGGGTGTGAGACGTTTCGGATCGCGTGGGAACATAGACGTTTTGCGAATGTTGTCGAGGCCCAGGAAAAGCATGGTTACACGCTCCAAACCTGGAAATGTTGACAAAAGACGACAATAATTAGCTAAACAGGTGATTAGTAAAGACCTGAAGCTAGTCGTACAAGGGTACAATCCATATTCAGGAAGGCCAACAAACAACAAATGGGAAGATAAGGCGGCGGTCATGGACTGAACAGCCGGTGAACTACAGTGTTTGATTATCGTCACCGCACTTGTCTGAACCAGCAGCTCCTGGGAATGCATCTACCATTGCCCACGATGAGTACTTACTTGGAGACGACGATCGAACACTAACAAAAGGAAATGCTTCAGGAGGAAAAAGTTGGATATGAGCACCTGAATTGGTCATTAAGGACGAGTGTCCGTCGGAGTGATAAAACGTGTAATAATCAGTCTACAAAGCATGCACTAAATCTCGACGGGAACGCACCATCTATTCTCCGTCTACCGCATCCTCATCCTATTCTTTTATCATCCTTGTTAGAAGAATACTGGTTATAAGGACACCAGGTGGTGCCAGGACCAGGAAATGTATTTATTGCAAATAACGGTAAGGGTATTTATTGGTAAATCGGCATACATACAACAAAATGTCTTACTTGGAACAAGTCTTTAGAATTCCCATAAGCAGACAGGATAATTAATGGAAGGGGCCGCCGGTAGATGCGCATTTCCAGTGGTTATAAAATTAAATTCCTTAATTCACTCGCGAATTGCGTATGAATCCAATAATCGTTTCTTTGTGCGCGCAAATCATTCACACGTGTGAAAAGCACCTCACAACATACGGACGTGACACACCACGGTGAATGAGACGCAATTTCAGAGGCAACGAACGTAGCATGAAGTTGGCGTCTCAGTTTCAACAGACTCGTCTGCATGGCATGGCAGTTAGTGGATTTGAATGAGTGCAAAGTATACAGTGGGTGGGTGGAACGATCTATAGTGAATACACACAAATAAGCATAACAGCTCAGAGTGCATGTGCAGGACTGAAAGATCATAGTGGCTAAACTCACTGCTACCAATCGAATACATAATCACAGTATCGATGTAATGGACAGAACACGCAGGAAGTATACACTCAGTCGAGGCACAAAGAAACGTACCGATACCACCGCCAGCATGAGGAGGACAACCGTAACGGAACGCGTCAATGTAGGCTTTGATTTTTTCGATTTCTAAAAATGAAGACAGCAGTAAAAAAATTTTCCAATGTCCGTCTACACTCACCACGAGAGAGAAAACACCTGCATTTTCGTACCATGTTTATTGGAAAGACACTTCAGAGTGAGTTGAAAACAAGAGTTCAGTTCAGTAAACACGTAGCAGGCTTAAAATTGACGAGGGAGCGTATGTGATTCGATTACTCCAAGTTAAATCTAGCTAACGAGAGGATATCAAGCCAATTTTTTCACCTTCGAAGAGGGATAAATATTAGCGCACAATTAGCGAAATTCGAATGGACAGGAAAGATAGCATACAAATAAAAAAGTAATCGACAGTGCAAGGGTTTCTAATCTGACTGGAAGTGGCATGTAGTGAGCTTCAAGCATTACAAAGATGATGAAGCAAGACCATAGTCACTTCGTCAATGAGGCAAACACCATCGAGTTGAACCCCGAACCAATATTCACCGGGAGGTCAACAGTTCGAGAACACGAATACCACTTGCATCTTCACTTACCCACACCGTGGTGTAATGCACGTTCGGTGAGCAAAGTGGGGTCGTGAATACGTTGCGCTCCGGACATAATTTCTTCTCCGCGCATATAGAAATCGTAGGAATTCGAGTACATCTAGACGAGTGTTAAAAGAAATGAACAAGCAGGTTACAACTATTTGATTCGCAATCCCGACAAACAAATCTGACAATGGAAAGGTTATTTAATGTTGAGAATCTGTGGGCGGAGCTTCGAGCCAACTATTTAGGGCAACGTTTGCTCACTCCCCCCTCCCCCACCTAAGACTCTGACAATGTTTGTGCGTTCATAACCGAACTCCGATTGAAATCTCTCGGTACTGCAAGTAGCAAATCCATACTTCAGAGCAGTTAGACGCTTATATTGATAAGGCATTTCAAATAAACCCAGGCAATTTTATCTGTTGAGCGCGGTGCATTAGCAACTGGATAATCAACAACATTGTACAGCGAGAAACAACCAAGCGAACTTCGCTGATCGTTACCAAGCTCACAATGTATATTATTCAAGTGATAAAGAACAAGATGGAGAGGGATTGAGCCTAATTCGAGGGAGGTACCGAAAGTGAACCTCTATGGTAAA